GAGGAGGAGGAGGGCGAGGACGAGGGCGAGGAGGAGGAGGAGGAGGGCGAGGAGGAGGAGGCGGAGGAGGAGGGAGAGGAGGAGGAGGCGGAGGCGGAGGAGGAGGGCGACGGCGAGAGGGGGAGGCGAGGGCACGAGTCTCAAGCAGGGGCGGAGCGTCCTGGCTCGCCCATAGCCCTGGCAGACGATGTTCTAGGAACCTTTTGTGGTTTCCACGAAGTGTTCTTAGAACATGTCTGTTTCATGTTGTCTTGTTTTACCACATCGGGTTTCTGTTCTAAGAACATTGTTTTTGTTATTAGACCATTCTTGGGTTCTAAAAACATTTCGTGGTAGGACTATAGGAATGCCGGGACGGTCGGTCCTTGCTCAAACGAGGGGAAGAAGGAGGACGGCGAGGCGAGGAGGCGGAGGATTGCAGCGAAGGAGCTAGGAGGAGGAGGCCGATGACGGCTACGACGAGGAGGACGACGAGATCAGGAGGACGACGTCGAAGTGAAAGAGAGGAGGAGGATGAAGAGGGGGAGGAGGAGGGGGAGGAGGAGGAGCAGGAGGAGGAGGAGGAGGGGAGGAGGAGGAGGAGGAGGAGGAGGGGGAGGAGGATAACGACGACGAAATGCGGAGCTTGAGTAGCTGGGGGAGGAGTACAACGATGAAAGGAATAGGAGGTGGAGATGAGGAGAGGGAGGAAGACAATGAGCGGACGGCGACGACATTGAGACGGAGGAGGACGAGGGACGAGGACGGCGACGTCGTGATGAGGAGGAGAAAGAGAGGAGGAGGAGAAGGAGCGCGGAGGACGACAAAACGAGGAGGATGGCGACCACGACACGTGGAGGAGGGGGACGAGGAGGGGCAGGAGGAGGACGAGGAGGAGGGGGAGGAGACTCGAGGAGCATGCGAAGCGCGCTCCCTCGAGCAGTGGTCCTCGGCGAGGTTCCTGCGCGCCCAGAGCAGCGCAGGAAGAGGCCGCGCCCCGCGCTCTTGGATCTCGCGCCGCGCGCCCCCTCCGCGGGCCTCGGGGGCTCAAGCCCCGCTGCAGGGGCAGCGTCTGGATCCCGGGGAAGGCCGCTCCAGGCGGCGCACCGCTGTGGCAAGCCAGCAGGGGGTCGGCAGGTCGAAGGCGGGCACAGAGGGCGCCCCCCGATCCGTCCCCCTCAAGCTCAAGAGGACCACGGAAAGCATGGATCTCATATCCATGCCATTTGGTCCAGAATCTGAAGACGCACGCGATATGTGCCCACGGCCAAACGCGTAGATGGCATGCACATGCGTGGCCAGGAGGCCAACGTAGTTTCCGACGCACACGAAGTAGAACAGGCTTTGGGGAAGCGTAGGATTCATCATCACGCGTGCGCAAACGGTGCAATAAGAGAAACGAAGACGGAGGAGGGCGACGTGACCATGGGTCAGGACGACCATAGGACACAACTTCGTCCAATTGCACATCCCGAACTTGTCGAGGCAACCCCAAGGTGCTACGGCCCTCTAGCCTGCCAGCGGCACATTCGTCAGTCTGCGGGGTGCACTGGCCTATCCCTCTCTCGCTCAATTCTGGATTACGTGTAAAGATTTCACTACAGCGCATTCAGACTCCGACCAACCTCCAGGACATCCGAATGCCATTGCTCGCAATGTACTGCAATAACCTAAGAAGGTCACCGCGCGATGACACCAGACGGCACGGTGAATTTACACATATTTACACAGCGACTCGGGCTGTAAAGGCCATGGCCGTCGCTCGACCTATTGCGCCGTGGAAGCACGAGCAGAAAAGAGCAGGTCATCCGTTGTTTCGACAGCCTGGGTAAGTCATCTCGCCTCCAAAGCCAGTTGCGCTGCTGAGGCAGTCGCTGCTGCGCGCAGCGTGGACGAGTGTTACGTTTCCTTCCTTAGTGACGCTACATGAGCTCACGAAGGGACCGCTAACCCCCTCTGGGCCCAAGCATCTTCGTGAACAAGGTGGACTCTGTATCAAGGTGTCCTTTACGATTGATGCCGGATCCGTATACCAGTCTCGCTCCAGCATGGACCTGAAAGCACTTACAGAGAAAACGCTGCTCGGCCATAAGTTATGGCCCAGCAGCGCTACGCTAGTTCCTGCACCTCATCATCCGCGAATACGGATGCGGCTCGCTATTTTCGCCGCTTGCCCGATTACCCGGCCTTGATCAGGGCGACTCGCCTTGTGGTTGTTCATGGATTGGCTCGTGAGGATTTGAGCAGCGCGTCAATGACTTCACTGGGCGTCTAGGTGTTATTGTTGGCGTCTGGGCGTTGCCGTTGGGGTTTACCGCGGGCCAGTGTGATTAACAATTGCAAGCGGCGCGTTGGCAGGCATTCGCCTTCCTGGAGACATCTGTCTGGTTTCGCAGTGACCTTCTTTCGCACTGCTCTTGTTTCTTTGCCTCCAGTTTGCGGTTGTATGTTTGTAGCCCTTGGCTGAGCTCCATCAGACGGCTATTATTCCGCTGCCCTCGCTCGATGCATGACCGTCCCCGCCGCAATGCTCGTGAACTGCCCGGTGGGCTGATCATTTGTGGTTTTGTCTGCAGTTGGACTGCGGGCGGAACGCGGGCGCCGCTTATGCAGCATTCCATTGTTCGTTTTCCTCTGAGGGCATCCGCAGTGGATTTTGCGCCCGTTTGTTTTTTTGTTGAACAGATCAGTTCAATAAGATTTGTCGTTGTTCGGCGCGAGAACACTAAAATGAAATTTGAGGGAAAAAATATCCACGCGTCCCTTCATAGCCCTTGGCGAAGCCAACCATAACAGCTGTCTGAGAGAATTCCTGGATCTCGGTATCATAAAACAACGCGCAGTGGTGTGGCGCCCGGGATCTGGTGGCGGATGGGCGCACCAAGGGCTCGATCGACCGCGACATAATCTTGCAGGTCATGGATGGGTGCCAGAGACACACGCGCGAAGTTAAGTCATGTACACCTTGGTGCGGAAAGACTCCCATTGCCAACGCGTGACGCCTTTGCTGTTCAAGCGTCTTGATGGACCCATGATGTCAGAGGGATTGCTTAGCTGCGGCCGCTAGTTGCATGAGAGGGGGGTGGCCTCTTTCTGGCCCGGCCCGCTCAAAGCTTTCGTGGAACCGCCACTGCTCAGGAGTGAGCGCGTGCCCGCGCTCCTGTTGTCGATCTTTTGTCGTGGTATCACGAGTGCGTGGAAGTGAGCGCGCGCCCGCGTTCCTTCAGCCGGCCTTCTACCCAGGATTAACCGCCCTCCATTCGGCTTTGGTGGCGCGGACAAGCGACGATCCCACGCCGGGCAGACAGCGGCTGCCCGGTGTGGGATCAGCCCCGTCGGCATCTTTCAGGGCTTTCTGGGCCGCCTTCCGGCCTGCCCAGCGCAAGCTGCATTTTCTCAGCTTACCTCTGCCCCGTTACACTTTGGTGTCAGGTTGGCTGGATCATGGTAACATGACCCAGTACTTCGCACGCTATTATTTTCACTTGCATTTGTGCCTCCATGGACAGTGGCGGCCGGGCCTCGTCCCCCCCCCCCCCCCTCGACTTTTAGGGGGCGTCCCACATGGGGGGGGACAAAATGTGCTCGCCTACCCGCCGCTGTCCCGGCTCAAGGCAGCGCCGCCCGATCTGCCAGAGCGGTGGCCTGTCCGTTTCCGATCTGAAGCGCTGGGAGAGACAATAGGCTTCTGTCTCTTCCCATCGCCATCTCTTACCTTTACCTTCGCCATACCACTACTACGACCACGGCATGGCACTTCCGCTTATCACTGGCCAGTGGGGCCAAGGCTATGACAGTGGGGGCCACGCGCGGCTCAACGATGCGCCGCCGCATCCGCACAGAGCCCTCCCGCCGCGCCCGCCCCCGCCCACGCTTCGCAAGCGGCTCTGGCCCCCTCGGGAGACGCAGGGCCTGGAGGCGGCCGGAACCCGCGGGGTGGGGGCCCGCGCGGCCGCCCGCCGCTCCTGCTTCCGAGGAGGGTTTTTGTTTGTCCGTGGCCATCGCTTGCGGCACCGAGCGCCAGGGACCTCGGCAGGCAGGGGGCCTGGATGCATTCGTGCCCTGGGAGGACGGGGGCAATTGAGCGACAAAAAAGGACGCGCTCAATTGCGGCGACATTGGCGCGCCAGTTGCCCGTGTAAGGTCGCGCATTCGAGCCCTCGTCTCGAGTGTGGCGCGCCGCGCTGGCGCCCCGCGTCTGCCGCCGCGGAAGGTCGCGATATCATCTCGCGTAAAATACGTTTTCGATCGCGCCCAAGCGCTGAGTCAGCGCGGATAGTAAAGATGAGCGGTTTCGCAAGGTTGCCCTTGCATCCCCCCCGTCGGACAATCCTTGGCCGCTTTCGCGGGCCGCGCCCCGCTCAAAAAGCGCCAGCGTGGCCTTCCAAGGCACCCTTATCGCGTATGCTTCTTATCCGCGGTGACTGTATCCATAACCACCGCCTGCTGCGAGATCCCCGGAGATCGATCCCACAGGCCGTGGTCCCCCAATCAGAGCTTGCCTCTGTAGGGGTCTTAGCGGATTCAGATGGTTAGGTTAGGTTTGCCGCCGATTTTTGCCGCACGCCCGGGAGCCCGGTTGACCGGGTGCCCGGGCGTGCCCGGGTGCCCGGGGGTGCCCAGGGGTGCCCTATAGCCCTAAGCCGTATAGCCCAATAGCCCAGTCTTACAATTCTATAGCCCTAGAGCTCTATAGCCCTATAGCTCAATAGCCCTGTAGCCCTATAGCCCCCTAGCCCTACAGCCCTGATTGGGTTTTTCTCCGGTATCATTATGGATAAATCCCCGCCTTGCAGTGGTTGGGGTGCACCGGGGCCATCACACAATCACTCCAATGAGCCATCGCCAAATGCACTTAAGAGTGATGGAGTGGCCTTCGGTGCGGGTTCACAGAGGTCCCTGGAATTGGCCCCCCTTCGCAGCACCCGAAAGCCGCGTGACAAAGGTCACTCTTGCCCAGGGTCATTCTCTTTTGTGTAACCAGCATCGTCATCATCAGCATCATGATCTGTACCCGCCGCAGCGTTTTTGTCTCGAGCCCCTTGTGCTGGGGCGGCGTGCCCTCGGTTGCAGACTCGTCCGCGCGACGCCTCTGGGGAGTCAGATGAAGCCGCTGCCGTCGGGCATCCAGACATTCCAGGGTAGCGCAGACTCAGGGCCCCCTAAACGGCAACATTGATAAAACAGGACACTGGCGCACCCAAGAAAATTGCAGCCGTGAGTAGGAAAATTACTAAATCATCGTTTTCTCCAGGTGGAGTTTTCAATGCCCTGCTTGGCAATGTTCTGGTTTATGGGGGCCCTTGTCAGACGCCCACACCGATGAATTCCGCTCAACGCTCAAGAGCGCCTTCGCGCGGATTTTGGAAGCGCACCGCTGCGAGGTGGCGGAGCTGCAGCTGCAGCTTGACGCCGTCGGCAAAAAACGGCCGACGCCGCCCAGCTGTCCCACCTCCCCTATCTTGATGGGCCTGTTTTCCACCACCACCATAAGCCTCCAGCTCCTCCTCCTCCTCCTCCTCCTCCTCCTCCTCCTCCTCCTCCTCCCCCCCTCCAACTTATGGTGGTGGTGGAAAACAGGCCCATCATATCTCGCCCATGAAGATGCCAGAGGTATGCGTTCGGCACCGCGCCATCATGGCGGACCACGGTGCGGGTTCCACCGTGGCCAATACGTTGGAGCCGAAGCTCGGATGGGCGGAACCTCGCGTGGACATGCAGGGACACGACAACGTCGACAGGGCAGCGTCGGCGTCGACAAGGACGTCGACAGGAGGCTGCACGGGGACGGCGACACCGGCGACTGGATGTTCCGGGGTCAACGACAGCGTCGACAAAGCGCATGATGGCTCTTGCAGCGTGGTGCCAGCAGCGTCCACGACTCCTCTTGACGCTGAACCAGTGGCAGAGCCTGCGAAGTTGATGCAGGGAGGCAATCCAGAACGGTTCTCAGGGCCGCATTGGCAATGGATGCACCGCACAGGGTGGAAGGGGTATGACCCGGAGGCTTCCGACAAGATAGAGGAGGCTTTTCAGAAAGGCCACCCAAAGGCCCGCCTCAAGGCCGGCAAGAAGGGCAGCAGTCCAATGAACATATTTTTCGAAGACATGGTTCAACACGATGAGGCATCGGGGAATTCAAGGGATGTTCGCCGGGTGGGCCCAAACCCGTGGTGGCAGCGCTTAAGGCGGCACTTGTTATCTTATTATTACGCTTGGGACACTGGGCTGCCGAGGACAGAGACACTGGCCGACTCAAAAGCGCGTAAGAAGCTGATTCAAAAGGCTGGTATTGGCGCTGTTGGCTCGAAGCTCGACCTGGCGCAGAACTTCTACCACCCGACAGGCCTCGCCGCGGCCGTCGCCAGGAGCAAGTTCTTCCATGGCATCGCAACCCTCGTGGTTGCCCTGAACACGATATGGATCGCCATAGAGCTGGACAACAACGACGGGCCGACGTCCAAGGTCGGGTTCCAGGTGGTGGACCACGTATTCTGCGGCCTCTTCACCGTCGAGCTCGTCGTTCGCTTTGCGGCCTACAGGAGGAAGGTGTTCTGCCTGCGCGACGGGTGGTTCTGCTTCGACGGCGCGCTGGTGCTGCCGATGTGGTTGGACCTCTGGCTGCTTCCGCTCGTGGGCCTTCTGGCGGGTGACGAGCGCGGAAGCTCGCTCAAGGGCGACCTCACGGTCTTGCGCGTCGCTCGGTTGTTGCGTCTCACGCGCATGTACCGTTTGCTGAAGTCGGTGCCGACGATGATGACGCTGCTGCGGGGGATCACGACTTCCATTCGGCCCGTGAGCATCGCGGTGGGCCTTCTGATATTGATCATATACCTCTTTAGCATCATCTTTCGGAGCCTGGTGGATCCTGGCGGCTTCCTCGAGATGGAGTATTTCCCTTCCGTGACGTACACGATGCTGTTTTTGTTGATGCACGGTACCTTCTTGGACTCGGTGGGAGCAAAAGGATTTGAGATCAACAGGGAGGGTGGCATCGTCTTGATGTTCTTCTTCTTGGCATACATATTCATGACGAGTTTTTTAATGCTAAACATGTTGATCGGAGTCGTCTGCGAAATGGTGTCCACGGTGAAGAACGGCGAGCAGGAGTTGATGGCAAAGGTATCGTTGCAAGCTCAACTATCCGACATCATGGATGTGTACGACGCGGACGGCACTGGGTCACTGACACAGTCCGAATTCCATCTGTTCATCAACAATTCGGAGGTGGTGCAAGCGCTTCACCACTTCGATGTCGACATCAAAGGGCTGGACACACTCAGTGAGATGATGTTTTCGCACGTCTCCCCTGAGGGTGGGTCCGAGGAGGCCGCCATCGGCTTTGACGACATCATGAGTCTGGCCGTGCGCCTCAAGGGCACTAGTGCCTCCCGAGTGGAGGACATCGTGAAGCTGCGGGAGTTCACTAAGCACCGTCTCGAGGCCTTGGAGCAGCATCTGATCAGCAATCAGAGGATGCTGGAGGAGCGCGTGGTCCACTCCCATTCCTCGCTGGCCAACCCGCCAGAAGTACGCCGGGGCTCGGTCCTGCGCTGAGCTTGAGCCGCCTCATGCGGAGCCCAGGATTTCAAACCTCCACGAACCTGCAGAACGAAGCGAGCCACTCCGGAAAGGAGGAGCAAGTAGTCAGTTGGGCGTCGCGTAATGGGGGGGGCGATAAAGTGCTGGGGCAGCGAGGGCTGCAGAAAAGGAGCCCTTTGGGGCCGCAAAGGGGGTCTGCAGGGTCCGAGAAGTGCACCTTTCTCCCCCCCCCATCCATCTGTCGCCCCCCCCCAGACGCGACGCCCGAGTTAGAGTCCACTATGGAGGTCGAACCTTCGTTATGTATGGGCCCATGGATGGCTGAGATCCTCTTGGCCCCCCAGGTGGGGTCCGAGGGGACGGGTTCGGAGGGCCGCACTGCATGGCCGATGCATCGGCGATGCGGCTCGAAGTAGAGCCCGACTTTCTCCGCACCGACGTCGCCGAGGCACCGTCGATGCCGCGCGGTCCACCTCGGGCGACGCAATCCATACAGATCCACTGCTCCCCGGCCAGGACCTTCCTGGGCCCAGGAGCTGTGTTGTGTGCGGCCTCCTGGCCAAGCCAGGAGGGCGTGGCGTTTTCCCCGCTGCTGGGTCCCGGATGGGCCTGGCCGGGGAGCAGTGGAGACGTATAGATCTCGCCGCCCTACCACCGTTCCCATCTGCTCGGGCCCCATTCGGGAGGCCTCTAGATCCTTCCCTCGTACAGGCGGGGCGCTGAAGGAGGAACCCTTTCTCCTCTGGGAGGGGTTCAGTGTTCCTCCCTTGTTTCACAGGTTGGCCCCAGCTTCTTTCCTCGGGCTCCCGCTGGGAAGTCGAAGCTGGGCTCGTGGAAGACAGGGTAGCCTCGTTCCTTACGTACCTGCGTAGGGCTCCCGACTGTGCCCTCCTCTCAAGGCCGGCCCGTTTGGGGGCGGCGCCCTCGGAGCGCCCGCGGCCGAGCCTCGCTGGTCCTCGCGCCTCGGCTCCGCTGCTGCTGCTGGTGCTGCTGGTCCCTCCTCCGCCTCCTCCACCTCCTCCCGGCCTCCTTTTTTCCTCCTCCCAGCCTCCTGTTCCTCCTCCCACTGTTCCTCCTCCTCCTCCTCCTCCTCCTCCTCCTCCTCCTCCTCCTCCTCCTCCTCCTCCCAGTCTCCTTTTCCTCCTCCCAGCCTCCTTTGCCTCCTCCCATTGTTCCTCCTCATCCTCCCAACCTCCTTTTCCTCCCACCGTTCCTCCCCCTCGTCCTCCTCCTCGTCTTCGGGCCCTTGGTGTCATGCACCGCGCAGCCCCACAGCAGACACGAATCGGACCATCAAGATAACGTATTGAGCATAGTTCACAAGTTTTCTTTTGCTGGCCAGCTCAAACGTGGACCTGGCGCGCAGGGCAAAGAAATTGTATCAAATGGGCCATGGGATCATATGGTCACGAGCTGCTGCCTGGTCGCCGTCGCGGTATGTACGCGAAGCGTTGGACAAATGCCATTGGAAATTGTTGAATTGCATGGCCAACGTCAGGATGCAGCCAGGAGAGTCGTTCAAGCAGTTCTCATCCAGAAGATCTCCCATCACGAGGAAATTCAGATTGGAACAGATGTGGAAACGGTGGTTTCTTGGCTTTCCCATGCGCAGCGCCATACGGAGGGCGTGGCTCACCGCGGCATCATGTGCCAACGGCCCGACTTGATCACGGACCGTCGCCTGCATCATGTCGACCACACTTTGAAGGGCTGCAACACGAGGGCAGGAACAAGCGGCGCGCGGAAGGGCGTTAGGGTAGACAACCAGACACAATCCTGACTCCGAATCCGCCGTACTTTGGGCGATTTCGCAAGTAGGGCGGAAATGTTCGCCCTTCTTTTCAAGCTCCTCTGATGCCGATTTCCGCCCCACTTTGCAGTCGCTGTTTCCGTCGTGCCTTTCCAGAGGTAGCCGCCCTATTTTTCTGAGGCGGACATTTCCGCCTTACTTTTTCGTATCGTTCGGGTTGCATGTTCGACAGAGTTGGAAGTCGAACAATCCATCAAAGTACTTCGGATTTGGAGTCAGGGAACCCGAATGGCACGAGAGCCCGGCACGTATTACGGAAGGTGGCGCACCATGTGATGGAAGAGAGGGGCATAAACATCCATGCGACGAGGGGTCCTTTCTCACGCGATGAGAGGGCAGCATATCCAGGAAGCCAGCCTTGCAAGGTGCGTCAGCATCATCAACATCATGAGCATCATCATCATCATCAGCATCATCATCATCATCAGCAACATCAGCATCATCAGCAGCAACATCATCATCGCCAGCATCAGCATCATCATCATCAGCATCATCATCACCATCATTACCATCATCATCGTCATCATCATCGGCATCATCGGCATCATCATCATCATCATCATCATCATCATCATCATCATCATCATCATCGCCACCATAATCATCCTCATCATCATAACCATTATCAATAATATCATTCGCATTATCAATACCATTATCATCCCCCTCCGCCTCTTTAGATCTCCCTTCCCTCGCACTATCCCTCGCTCGCTTCCTGCCTCGTCTCCCATCCCTCCAGCGGTAGCAACTCATGGGAGCCTTGCATCTCCTCGCACTTCCATCTTCAGAGTGCACTAGCGTGCGCTAGAGCCCGGTTCTTTATTGCTTGGGGCATGATGGGCGTCATGGCCCCCGCTCCCCCCCCCCTATGACGTAACGCTCCCCCCCCCAGTGCGCTCTGGGCATTGCCGCCGTGCGCGTTGGGATCCGCGTAGGTGTCCGCGTAGGAATCCGCATAGGAGTCTGGTCCACAGTCGTCGTCGTCGTCGTCGTCGTCGCCGTCGCCGTCGTCGTCGTCGTCGTGGTCGTCGTCGTCGTCATCGCTCGTGGCTCGTCGCTCGTCGCTCATCGTCGTCGTGCGCGCGGACGCGGCTGGAACCTGTTTTTTATTCCGGGCCGATAACGGCAATCATGTGGGGGGGAACGGTCTCGATGACGTCACGTTTCGCTCCGGCGGCGTTTGGGAATGCTTGGGAATAACGGAGGACGGGTAGCACCAGCATGCAGGTGGTGATCTGCACCACAACGCTTGTGTACACCGCAATGCCTGCGTGCACCAACGCGCTTGTGTGCACCACAACGCCTGTGTACACCACAGCAGCCGCGTGCAACACACTGTCAGTTTGTGCCACCGTGCCTGCGGGCACAACAGCTGTTGTGTACACCACAGCGCCTGCGTACACCACATCAGCCGTGTGCAATACAGCGCCTGTGTACACCACAGTGCCTGCGTGCACTGCAGTGCCTGTGTGCACCACGGCGCTTGTGTGCGCCACTGCAGTCGTGTGCAACACAACACCACAGTTGTATATAATGTTAGAAGGAATCCTTATGACAAAATGGAGTGCTTGTGGATTCCACAGAGAGCAACACAAAGGAATCCTTGTGGACAAAAGAGCGCTGCTGGAATCTACGAGTCCCCCCGAGTCCGCCCGCATCACCCTAATTCCTCCCTTCTGCGTCCATGGGGCTCCAGCTAAATTGGCCGTGCGAGAAACAAGTGGACCGATTCAGTCGACCATTTTGTGTTGAGATGCGCACGTGCGCTGTAGCGCCAACCCGCACGACAGAGGGTAAGGAGGAGGAGGAGGAGGAAGAGGAGGAGGAGGTGGAGGTGGAGAAAGAGGGCAGAGGGAAGAACGTCGTATTCGATTATCATCACTTCCCTGCACGCAGGCACCTTGGTGTACACTAGCGTTGCGTTGCACGCGGATGCTATGGTGTAGACAGGCGCTGCGACGTGCACAGGCGATGCGGTGCACGCAAGCATTGTGGTGTACACAGGCGCTGCGTTGCACATGGTTGCTGCTGTGTACACATGTGCGCCGGCGCTGTAGTGTACGCAAGCACTGTGATGTACACATGCGCTGCGTTGCACACGGCTGTTGCGGTGTAAGCTGGTCTTCATTGCCAAGCGGGAGGGCGGCGTCAGGCCGATCGCCCTCCTCGCGGCTCTCGTGCGCGTGCACGGGCGCCTTCGCCGTGGCCTCGCCAGTGACTGGGAGGCCGCTCGCCCGCGGGCCTTCTGGTGGGCCACGGCAGGCAGGTCCTGTGAGCGAGCTGTGTGGCAGCAGCTTGTTTGGAGCGAGTGGCTGAAGGCCAAGCGCGACGAGCAGCCCGACCTGGACTGGCATTCTGCCGCCGTGGTGCTCGACCTTTGGAAGGCGTTCGAGCAGATCGGGCACCAGCACCTCATCAACTCGGCGGCCGAGCACGACTTCCCCCTCGGGATCGTCAAGCTCCAGATTTCACTTTATCGTGCTCCGCGGGCCCTCGAGCTCCGCGGAGCCGTCTCGGACTTCATCGAGGCGAACCAGACGGTCCTGGCGGGCGACATGTGGGCCACCACGTTCATGAAGCTGGTCCTGCCCACGCCGATCGACCGCACGGTCCGTGCGTCGCCGAGCATCGTGCCGTCGGTCGTCGTCGACGACCTCGTCTTCCAGCGGGTCGGAGGCGGCAAGCGGGTGGCCGACTCCATCGTGGCCAGCGTCACCAGCGTGGTCAAGGAGCTGCGCAAGGTGGACATCTTCGTGGCTACCAAGAAGTCGGTGCTCCTCGCCGACTCGCCGCAGCTAGCCAAGGACCTCGAGGGCAGGCTGGCCGCGTCCACCAGGGCGCGCGCGGCTCGAGGGGCTCGCAACCTGGGCGTGGACTACGCCGTCGGCGTCAAGATGCCCAGGAACGTGCGCGAAGGGCGGCTCAAGCAGGCCTCGCGGCGAGTGCCGAGGCTTCGTCGCTTCCTCGGTCCCGCGCGCCGCCGCAGGATCGCAGCCCGTGTGGCGAAGCAGGGGCTGGAGGCCAGCTACGCCTACGGGGTCTGCTGCACGGGCTTGAGCGACGCTGAGCTCCAGCAGGCCAGAACCATGGCCGTGAAGGCCATCGAGCTGCGGCCCGCGGGCAAGAGCGCCACCGCGGTCTTGGCCCTCATCGGAGCCGACTACGACCCCGTCGTCAAGGCCACGCTCGACCCCATCAGCACGTTGCACCGCGCCGTCTGGGAGCAGTGGTTGCCCAAGAAGGCGCTGGAGACGGCCTTTGCAGTTGCAGTCCGCCATGTCGGCCAGTGGAGTCAGGTCCGCGGGCCCGTCTCCGCCGCCGCCGTCCTCTCCCTGCGGCGCGTCGGATGGCAGTGCGAGCAGCTGGACAAGTGGACCTCCGACGCGGGCGACGTCCACTGCATCGGCGGCACCAGCCCGTGGCTGACAAAGATGCTTCTTCGGCGCAGCTGCGAGGATTGGCAGGCCCGCCAGCTGAGCGAGCACGACGCCCCGTGGCTGGCCGTCGGCATCAACTTCGGGCAGCTGCGGAAGTGGGTCGATCGAGGACGGCCCTCCTCGAAGGTTGGCAGGAGCTGGCCCACCGCCACCAACGAGGAGCGCGGCTACCTCAGGTCGTGCATCGTGAACGGCCAGTGGGCCAACGTTAGGAAGTTCGGCAACAACCCGAGGTATGCCTCCTCGGAATTCTGCGAGCTCTGCCCAGGGCAGCGGGGCGACCTCTGGCACAGGCATCTCGAGTGCCAGGTCCTCACTCGTCTACCTGATGGAGGCGATCTGCCGCGGGAGATGGCGCTCCTGCTGGCGCAGCGTGACAACCAGGGTTGCTCATCGAGAGGCTGCTCTTCCCGATCCCGTGGCTGCAGTGGCGGCCGCCTGCAGGCGGCTTCCTGGGCCATCTGCGCTGGTGCTGCGGCGAGCCAGGCGAGCCCTTTCTGCGGCCAGCCCCTGTGCTGCCGGCGCCCTGCGCGGCGCCGCACTTGCTGGCGGGCGGGGCGCCCAAGGCGCGGCGGCGGTGGTCGAGCTGCCGCCCGTCAGCGACAGCACCGACCCAGGTCCTGGCAGCAGGACCAAGGCGTTTGGGTCGCCGCTCGTCGGCCCGTAGCAGAGCATCGAGGGCTCGGAGCTGCTGTCGGTGCTCATCGTGCTGCGGCGCTCCATCCCGCCCATCGCCCTGCGCTGCGACGCCAGCTTCGTGGTGGGCGGCGTCAACCTTCGTAGGGCCGAGCGCGCCGCCCTCGCATCCTCCGCGTGGGGGCACCTGTGGCGGCTGGTGTGGGCGGCCCTCGACGACTTCGGCGGACTCTCGGACCGCGGCCTCACGGTGGTCAAGATGCCTGGCCATGCGACCCTTCGCCAAGTTAGGGAGGGCGCCGACGCGCTCAAGCAGAGGCGCGGCAACTTCGAGGCGGGCCACGTGGCAGGTGGTATCGCCGCGGCGCTTGGGCCCCCTTCCGCGGCGAGTTTGAGGCGCAAGCAGGCTGCCGTCATGGTGGACGGTGTGGCGCGCTGGTTGGCCAAAGCTGGCACGCCAGCGGGCGCCGCCAGGGGCGACGGCGCCCAGGGCTACGTGCAGCGCGACTTCGGCAACCGCATCGGCCTCTGCCTCACGAGCCACGTCTTCGTGACGCAGGCCGACGGCTCGTGGCGCTGCCAGGCGTGCTTCAAGACGGCGCGCACAGAGAGGTCCAAGCAGGCGCTCTTCAGGGCCCCCTGCGAGCCCAAGGCGGCGGCCTCAGGGGCCAGGCGGGCCCCCGCCTCCAGCGCCGCTGCGGGCGCCGCGCTGGCGGCCGCCGCCGTCACGGCTGCCGCCGCTGGAGGGCACGGAGGAGGTGGCAGCGCCGAGGGCGACGGCGGCGACACCAGCAGCACCGCCGCCGCGAGCGGCCCCGCCCGTCGGGCGCCTCGCAGGCCTCGTGGGCCCGCCGCGGGCTCCAGTGAGAGGCCCGCCGCCGCCGAGCGCAAGCCGTCGAGTGCCGCGGACCTCCTCGTGGCCGCGGACCTCCTCATGGCTGCATGGAGGGAGCGCAGGGCGAGCTTCTCTCGCGCTGGCGCCGTCGGAGGCAGCGGCGACAGGTCGCGGTCTCCTCCTGTGCGTGCTGAGCGCGGCGAAGCCAGTGCGCTCTTGGCTCCCGCCGATGAGTCTGCCGAGGGAGCGGCTCCCGCTATGCCGCCAGCTCCTACCGCTGCGCGAGACGAGCTCGGGCACGTGCTGCAGCGGCGCCACGGCTACGTCGTCTGCAATCGGTGCAATGCGTACGCGCGTGAGCGCCTTGGCTCCTTCAAGGCGCTCTCGAGCCTGCGCGTCCCAGACGAGGGGGATGCAGGCCGCATCCGCCGCCTCAGAGGCGACAGAATTCGTCGAGGGGTGCACCCGACCAGCGGTGCGTGCCTCCCTGACGCTGCAGCTGGAGAGGTGGCTGGCCTCTCGAGCTCGGTGGCCTCAGCGTAGGCCGCCTAGCCTTCCGTGGTGCCGTGCCATCGGTCGTTCACCGAGGGCAGAGAGGCGCCACACAGACGGGGGGGGCTGACTCCTCCTGGAGCCTCCCCGCCTGCCCGCCGCGCAGGCAAAAAACAAAAACAAAAAAAAGGCTGTTGCGGTGTACGCAGGCGCTGTGGTGTACACGTGCGCTGTGGTGCACGCGAGCGTTGTGGTGTACACAGGCGCAGTGGGGCATATCGCCACCTACATGCTGCTCGCGTCGTCGTCGTCGCTCGTCGCTCGTCGCTCGTCGCGTCGTGCGCGCGGGCGCCGCTGGGGCGTTACGTCGTACCCCCCTCCCGCCCCCCCACCCCCCCCATGACCCATGACGCCCGTCATCGCCGAACACAAAAAAAAACGCGCTCCTAGCGTCTGGTAACCGATGAGACAGCGCCGATTTAGTGTCGACAGGCGTCGATTAGCGTCGATTCGCAAGAGCCAGCAAGATGGCATGGGAGGCTCCTGTGAATTGCCACCGAACAGTTTTCGTTGGACGAGCCAGCCAGCCATGGCCCCAAGGGCAGGCCGAAAGCGTGCTGGACCAAAGGCCGGAGCACCCGCCCCGCCAGCAGACCAAGCGCGGCCCCAAGAGCATTCAAATTGGCCCAGGGACGGGCATGAAGGCCGGCCCCTCCGAGAGTGGGGCAAACAAGTGCGCAAGAAGGGCTCGCAGTGGGCCTCTCGGGGCCTCTTGGGGGCCTCGTGGGGCTTCCTGGGGGCACCTCAGGGTTTCTGGCGGGATCTTGGGACCATCTTGCGGCGGAGGGCTCAAAATGTCAGTTCGTGTTTCCCCTGTTGGGCTTCTGTTTGGGCTGTCTTGGTGGCCTCTTGGGCCCCTCTTGGGGATTCGTGGGTAGTTTTGGGGCCGTTTGGGGGCGCCTCTTGGGCCGTCTTGGACGCTCTGATGACCAAAAGGTGGTACTGCTAAAGACCATGCAGGGGCAAAGGGGTTCTGACGATTTGAGCGTCCTGGGCCGCCCTCCATGATGTCCGGGACGGCCCGGGAGGGGTCCGAGAGGGCGACGGGACGGCCCTCGGGGCCATCTTAGGCCATGCTGGACATGCACGCCCTGAACAAAAAGGCCCCCTTGCCCTGGAGAAGTCGCGCGGGGAGCCCCCGGCAGCGCGCGAGAGCGCCCAGGAGCGCCGGGAACTCCAGGCTGCGGGCCCCCTCATGGCACTGGCAGAGAACTCAACCTACTTCTCCCTCCTCCTCCCTCCTCCTCCTCCCTCCTCCTCCCTCCTCCTCCTCCCTCCTCCTCCTGCTCCTCCTCCTCCTCCTCCTCCTCCTCCTCCTCCTCCTCCTCCTCCTCCTCCTCCTCGTGAGGAAATGCCACTTCGTGCCTCGAGGCACGGTGGCATTTTTTGTGCATGCGCATACAACACAATATTTGTATATGTGATAAGTACGAGCGATACCTATACGACCACCCTTCGGATGATAAGGAGGTTGGGGGGAAAGAACAAACTGAGGACAACTGCGATGATTGTGATGCTGGCGATGCTGGTGATGCGCTCACGAGTTGGCGACGATGCAAGACGTTGGTTTCGTTCCATCGATCTCAGTGTCGACCCCGTGCCGGTTGCTTGTGAACCGTTTGGCGTCTTCGGCTCTCTTCGATCTCACCCCCCAGGTTTGGTTATCGATCTCACTGGCGATCTTGGAAACCACCACGATACGATCGGGGCACCATTGGGGCACCGCCACACCATCGAGACACCATCGGGGCACCGTCGGGGACATCGGGACACCATCAGGACACCACCAGGGCACCATCGGGACACCAATCGAAACGCCGACCGGTACAACACCAGGACACCACCGTCGCAACACCAAACGGGGCACCTATCGGGACGCCACCAGGACACCATCGAGACACCATCGAAATACCACCGGGACACTATCAGGACACCAATCGGGACACCAATGGGGACATCCACGGGACAAAAATCGGGACGTTCATCGGGACACTGACGGGACACCGACAGGACGCCAACGGTGGAACACCGACGGCGGGACACCGACGGGACACCGAGGAGACACCGACGGGACACCGACGGGACACCGACGGGACACCGACCATGCACCGACGGGACACCGACGGGACACCGACGGGACGCCGACGGGACTCCACGGCGGGACACTCCCAGCCACCGCCCGCGGACACGGATGGGACACCGACTGGACACTACGGCGGGACACTACGGCAGGACACCCCGGCCACGCTGGCCCACAGGAGGCGGTCTTTTAGTTCTGCTTCGCCCGAGCCACAGCTTCGCCTCCGGAGGCACAGCGCAACAAAAAGCCACGGCGGGGGGCTGCGTCTTCCGAGCGTCGGCCTCTGGCAGGCCCGGCTCGGACCCGGCGTCAGCAGGATTGCCGTGGGTCGGCTGCGCTCGGGGGGCGACCGAGTGGGGGGGGATGACCAGGGGGGGGGGGGACATCATGGCGGAGGCCATGATGTCTCCCCAGATTTCACGGCTCCTCTTCTTATTTGAATGCGTCCTTGGCCTCCCCCCCTGGGCTGCGCACACGCCGCGGCCATGATTTGCGCTCCTCCCCTTTCGGACGCCCCCCTCTTGGACGCCACCGATACGCGTAAGGTCGGGACGATCGAAAGGGGTACGGAAAGAATAGGTACGAAGACCGACAGCAGTTCCTGTCCACTCCGGACAGGATTTGCTGTTGGTGCCGCCGCGGGCTTTGTTCGTCTGAGAGAGGAGGCCGCCTGCCCAACTGCGGTAGGCATCGTACACATGTGTTCCTACCCTCCCGGGACTTCGCCACCGGGCTCCTGTCCAAGGTGTACATTTTCTAGCACGTCATCTTCGGCACCGCCTGATCCCAGGGCTTCGCCCTTTCCCGGCCGCCGTGAGGCCCCGCCTTCTCTCGCCATTTCTCTGCTAATGAAAGCTGTGCGCGTCCCGCTTAGCTTTCAGCGGAGGAGGTTCGCTCTCGCCCCGCAGACCAAAGAGTGAGAGTGACCTTTCGCCAGAGTGATCTTTGGTGCGGGCCGGCAGGGGTCCCCCTGAGGGGTGAGTGCAGTGCGATGTCAGCGGCTTGCGCGCATGGGTTCGGCCCCCCACGTTCCACCGGAGGCCGCGCACAAGGTCACTCTTGCGCAGGGCCACTCTGGCGTGCAGCTGAGTGGGGGCCAATGTCGGTCCCGTTCGATTTCGGTTCCGTGCCGATGCTCTGCCCTCCTCTCTCTCCGCTCCTTTCCTCCTCCGCTCTTGCAGGCTCAGGGGGGAACGCCTTGACCCCCGATTTCTCATCTCATCTCTCGTCTCTCTCTCGAGTCAGCCAGATCACCAATCACTAAGCAGCCAGTCGAATCTCCTCAGCTCCGCCACGGACGCCATCGCCTCGCCATCAAGCACGTCGCCATCAGTTGGCCCAAGGCTGAGGCCAGGCGGTGGTGCGCGGTGGTGCTCTCTGTCTCATGGCTTGCCGGCTGGAATGCGCTGGCGGCGTTCGTGACAATGCGAGATTTGCTGTCTCAGACCCCACTGTACGCTGAGATGCGAGACAGATCCAGCCCATGGAATCGAGGTCGCTGCCGTGCCCGGGAGTGTGCGCCTGGCTTGCTTGCACCATCCCTCATTCCACGGTCGTTTTCAAGAGCGTGTTTCTTTCTTGCTTGGGGCATAATGGGCATTATAGCCCCCGGCCCCCGCTCCCCCCCCCTAGAGTGCCCCTTATCGCCGAAAATAAAGAAACGCGCTCACGGGGTGGGGGGGGGGTCATCCGATCCGCTTCGTTACGTGTGCGGCTCTGCTGCTGCGCGGGAGGTAGAAGTGGAGGGCCAGAGTAGGCACGTCAAGACGGGTCTGCCAGCCGGGGCCCCTCGGAAGTCGTTTGCCCACGGGCGGCGAGGGGCCCGCAGGAGCCCTGGGGCACGTCGGGGGCCTCGACACTCGACGGCGAGCGTGCCCCCAGAGCTCTTACAGCCAGACCTCGTCTCGTCGGAGGTCGGGGGCGAGATCGAGGAGCCACGGAGTCGCTCGACCGGGACATCGATGTAGTGCGCGTGCGAGACGAGGCGAGGCGACTCCGCGCGAGTTCCTGCTCTAGCAAAACTACATGCTAAATCAAGCCAGAGTGCGTCGGGCGGGCCTGGCCAGTGCGTGCGGGTTGTCCCGATGGTTGTCCCGATTGTTGTACTGACGGTTGTCCCGACGGTTGTCTTGACGGTTGTCCCGATTATTGTCCAGATGGTTGTCTTGATGGTTGTCCCGATGGTTGTCCCAATAGTTGCCCCTATGGTTCTCCCGATGGTTGTCTTGATGGTTGTCCCGATGATTTTTCCGATGATTGTTTCGATGGTTTTCCCGATGGTTTGCCCGATGGTTATCCCGATGGTTGTCCCCATGGTTGTCCCGCTGGTTGTCCTGATTGTTGTCCCGTTGGTTGTCCCGATGGTTGTCCCGATTATTGTCCCGATGGTCGTCCCGATGGTGCTGCGAGGCCAGAACATAAATGCATTCTGCGGGGTCCCCATGTCATACCATACGCCCTGCGGACAGCTGGTGTATATATGTACGTAACTGCATGTGTGTAGTTATGTATGTGTTTATGAATGTGCTTATGCACTTTATTGTTAGATATATACACACACGTACATACGTACATACATACATACGTACATACATGCATACATACATGCATGCATGCATGCATGCATGCATACATACATACATATGAATCCATATATATATATATACATATATATATATATATACACACACATCCCCGTGCACGAGGCCGGGGCGCCTGGGGCGGCGACCTCGACGGCGCATGGGGGTACCGGGGCCTCTGGGCCTCCCCAGAGACAGTCCCAGACAGCCCCGAAACGCCACCCGAGAGTCCCAGAAGGTCTCCAAACGTCCAAGAAGGCCTGGACTCCCCGAATCGTTGCTCCAAGACGCCGAAGATGGCTCCAAGACGGCCTCCGGGGGCCCCCACGACGGCCCAAGAGCCCCCCCTTAGAGGACTTCCAAGAGCGCCTCCAGAAGCAAAAATGGCCCCATTCCATTTGGAAACCGTGCATTTTTCAGATACGCACATCTTCGGTATCCCGCGTCGAAGACGGCCCCTGGAGCCCACAAGATCGCCCCAAGACAGCCAAAGAGAGTTCCACGAGGCCTCCAAGACAGCTCCAGAGGAGCACTCGACTATCCAGGGGGCCTCCAAGACGGTCCCAGAGAGCCCCGGGGAGCCTCTGGGGCCCCCCCGAGGCAGCCCCAGACAGCCCCGAAACGCCACCCGAGAGTCCTAGGAGGTCTCCAAGCGTCCAAGAGGGCCCGGACTCCTCGAATTGTCGCTCCAAGACGCCGAAGATGCTTCCAAGACAGCCTCCGGGAGCCCCCACGACGGCCCAAGAGTCCCGCAAGAGGACTCCCAAGAGTGCCCCCAGAAGCAAAAGTGGTCCCATCCTCTTCGGAAGACGTACATTTTACGATATTCACATCGTCGGCGTCAACCGCGTCGAAGACGGCCCTAGCAGCCGACAAGATCGCCCCAAGACGGCCAAAGAGAGTTCCACGAGGCCTCCAAGACAGCTCCAGAGAAGCCCTCGAATATCTAGGAGGCCCCCGAGTCGGTCCCAGAGGGCTACGGGAGGCCTCTGGGGCCACCCCCTTGAGACAGCCCCAGACAGCCCCAAAACGCCACCCGAGAGTCCCAGAAGGTCTCCAAACGTCCAAGAGGGCCCAGAATCCCCGAATCGTCGCTCCAAGACGCCGAAGATGGCTCCAAGACGGCCTCCAGGAGCCCCCACGACGGCCCAAGAGCCCCCCTAAGAGGACTCCCAGGAGCGCCTCCAGAAGCAAAAATGGCCCCATTCCATTTGGAAACCGTGCAATTTCAGATACGCACATCTTCGGCATCGACCGCGTCGACGACGGCCCCTAGAGCCCACAAGATTGCCCCAAGACGGCCAAAGAGAGTTCCACGAGGCCTCCAAGACAGCTCCAGAGGAGCCCTCGACTATCCAGGGGGCCTCCAAGACGGTCCCAGAGAGCCCCGGGGAGCCTCTGGGGCCCCCCCGAGACAGCCCCAGACAGCCCCGAAACGCCACCCGAGAGTCCTAGGAGGTCTCCAAGCGTCTAAGAGGGCCCAGACTCCTCGAATTGTCGCTCCAAGACGCCGAAGATGGTTCCAAGACAGCCTCCGGGAGCCCCCACGACGGCCCAAGAGTCCCGCAAGAGGACTCCCAAGAGTGCCCCCAGAAGCAAAAGTGGCCCCATCCTCTTCGGAAGACGTGCATGTTCACCGCTTCGGCGTCGACCGCGTCGAAGACGGCCCCAGGAGCCGACAAGATCGCCCCAAGACGGCCAAAGAGAGTTCCACGAGGCCTCCAAGACAGCTCCGGAGGAGCCCTCGAATATCCAGGAGGCCCCCGAGTCGGTCCCAGAGGGCCAGAGGGCCCCGGGGGGCCTCTGGGCCCCAGACAGCCCCGAAACGCCACCCGAGAGTTGCAGGAGATCTCCAAACGTCCAAGAGGGCCCAGACTCCCCGAATCGTCGGTCCAACACGCCGAAGATGGTTCCACGACGGCCTCCGGGAGCCCCCACGACGGCCCAAGACGAGCCACCCGCGCAAGAGGCCCGGGCGCCCGGGGCTGGGGCTGGGGTCCCGAGCGCGCATGGGGGGACGGGCCTCAAAGACCGCTCCCAGAGCACCCCGGAGGAGCCGTGGAGCCCCCAGACTGCCCCAGAGAGCTCCAAGACGCTCCCAGAAGCCCCAGGGGGACTTCGACCAGCCCCTCCGACAGACCAGATAGGCATTGCTTGGCGTTACCTGGCATTGCTTGGCATTCTGTCGCGTTGCTTGGCATTTCTTGGCGTTGCTTGGCATTGCTTGGCGTTGTTTTGCATTGTTTTGATATGCTTGACGTTGCTTGGCGTTGCTTGACGTTGCCTGTCGTTGCCTGCCACTGTTGGGAAACAAAACCAACAACCAGGGCGGGGAACCCGGAGGAGGAAAAAGAGGAGGAGGAGGAGGAGGAGGAGGAGGAGGAGTAGGAGGAGGAGGAAAAAGAGGAGGAGGAGGAGGAGGAGGAGAGAGGAGGAGGTGGAGGATGGCCTTTCGGCCCTCCGTCAAGTCGTCCGCGCTGTTTTCAAATTTTTGGGGGCCCGAAAAAGCCCACAAGCGCTCTCTGAAGAGCCAGGACGACTGGTCGGGCGTCGCGGGTTACATTGGTCGTGGCGCCCGGAGGGCTCCGGCTGAGCGTCTCCAGACTGAGAGGCTGAGCGCTATTTCCGCAGACCCGCGCGCGCGCGCGGCGCCAATTCTCGGCCACGCGCAGAGAGGGTAGGGGGAGAGGAAAAGGCATTTCAGAAGCACCCTTGCCTCTTAAAAAAGCGCGAGCCTTGTCTGTAGATGTGAGGCCCGCGCATTCTACGAAGCAGCCTCCTTCTAAGAAGCCTTGCCCCTCCCCCTACCCCCCTCTGCGCGCCGCCAAAAGTCCGCCGACCCCCCAGACGCAGAACTTGCGGTGACGATCCAGGTTGCCTGCGGTCGGGAGTTTTGGTTCAGCGTGTCGCGCCGCAGGTTCTGTTCCGCCGCGCCTCGGCGCGACACGCTGCCCGCGTCCCCGGGCGTCAGCGTCCCGAGCCTTTCGAAGCTTCCTGCCCCGCGGAGTGGGGCGACATGCTATCCGCACGCGAGGCATAGCGTGCCGCCAGGGCCGCCGTCGCGACACGCTAAGGGACAGTTCCCGACCGTATTCGGGCCTGCCTTGGGGCTCTCTCAGTGCTCTCTTGCTCCCCTAGGCTCCTCCTTCTTCTGGAAGGATCCTGGCGTCCCTTCATGGGTCTTGTGGCCGTTTGGGATAGATTTGGGGCCACGTGTGGTAGTCTTGGAGCCGCGTTCGGCCGTCTTGGGGCAACATCCTTCAGTTGACTCTTCTCCAATCGACCTGCTGGGATCAAGCCAGATAAATTCAGGTAACTCCAGAAAAACCTAGGCAATTCCAGATTGACCGATGAAAATCCACATATGTATATACATATACATATATCTATATATATACATATGTGTGTATATATATATAGATATGTATGTGTATGTGTGTCCAGGCAAACTTTGGGAACATATCGTGGAAGCTCTTAAACGCGAGTCGAGGGACGGAGGGCGCCTGTGAGCCCCTAGCGGGAGAGGCACATCGGAATCCCAAATGACACATGTGTTAACCACAGCGGAGGCCCTCGTGATGGCCTCGCCAGACAGGGCGCTTTGAAGGCATGCCATGGTGGTGCGCACGCGGCCTGCAGTAGTCTTCCCTGGGGGCAGAACGCCCTGGTGACCCCCCGCGTGGACACATTGCTGTCGACCTGGTCAACTGCCGAAGGCGTCCCCTCCCGGGAAGGCGTCCTGGCCATCACGCGTGGCGTGGGCCAGGCTGCCAGCCTCCCCGGGGCCCTCCACGCCCGTCGACCACCGGAAAACTCGCCGGCCCAACGGGCCAAGGGCGTGCTGCACTCCGCTGGCCTGCGAGCCGCAGCCCCTGACCCAGACCAGAGGCAGGCGGGGCTCCAATGGCCGCGCCCGGCCGCCTTCGCGGGCGGGCGCGCGCAAGGCGGCGGCGCTGCAGCGCAGAGAGAGGAGACAGAAGGAAGCCCAGTGGCCCCGCGACTGACGATGGCCAGGCGATCGCAGACATGGATCCCGGGGGCGTGGAGCAGCGACGGGTCCCGCTTCTAATGTGAAGTCGCGGATTTCCGCCACCCGAGCGAGGCGGCGCCGGCCGCATTTCGGGGAGGGCGGCTGCCCCGATCCATGGATCTGGCGACCGCGCGCCAAATGTCTGCGCGCCCCCGGAGAGAATCGGCCACGCGCAGAGGGGGGTATGGGCAAGTTAGGTGCGCTCGCGTCAACATCTAACATCCTACCCCTCCCTCCCATCCCTTACCATGGCGCTGATTTTCTCTATCCGCGGACGCGTGTCGTAGCGGACCTGTGGCTCCGCGCGCGTGTGCGTAGTGGGTGGTGGTGCGCGTGCGTGCGTGCGTGTGTGCGTGGTTATGGTTGTGGTGGTGGTGGTGGTGTGTATGTGTGTGTGCGTGTGTGCGCGTGTGCTGTGGTGTGACGTGGTGTGGCGTCTTGGTGGTTTGGTGGTGGGCCAGGTGCGTACGTGCGTGATGGCGGTGGTGGTGGTGGTGGTGGTGGTGGCGGTGGTGTGTGTGTGTGTGTGTCTGTGTGTGTGTGTGTGTGTGTGTGTGTGTGCGTGCGTGCGTGCGTGCGTGCGTGCGTGCGTGCGTGCGTGCGTGCGTGCGTGCGTGCGTGCGTGCGTGCGTGCGTGCGTGTGTGTCTGTGTGTGCGCGCGTGTGATGTGGTGTGACGCGGTGTAGCGTGGTGGTGGTGGGTGGGGTAGTGCGGTGGTGGTGGCGGTGCGCGGTGGTGGTGCGCGTGCGTGCGTGCGTGCGCTGGTGGGTGGAAGTGGCGGTGGGTGTGCGTGCGGCGGGGCGGGGCGTGGTGCGGCGCGGTGGTGGCGGGCGGATGGGCGCGCGAGAAAGAGGCCCGCGCTGGGGCGAGAACGCCATCCTGAACGACGGAGGCAAAACACCGATCCGAAAATGAGGCCCACGCTGCAGCAGGAGCACGATTCGGAACGATTCGGGAGCAGAAATGAGGCTGGCGCCTCAGCGAGAGCAGCATTTTGAAAAGAAAAAGCGCAGGCGAAAACCCAACTCCCGGGAATCCTGTGTGTAAAAAACAGTACGCGGGGGGGGGTCGAATATTCCCAGGACGCCATCAGGGGAAGAGGGAGAGTAGCATTCATATCGAGTAATTGTGGAGGGGGGGAAGCACCCCTGCTTCTCAGAAGGCGCGGGCCTCCTCTATACACATGCGAGGCCGGGCGCCTTCCAAGAGGCGGCCCCCTTCTAAGACGCCTTCCCCCCTCCCCCCTGCCCCTCTCTGCGCGCCGCCAAGAGTCAGGAGGGAAAAAACACACAGACACAAGTAATCGTCGATTCCCCAGGAAAATATGGGAAAATATGGGAAGTGGGGGGGGAGACAGAAACCTAGAAAAGATGGGGAAATATGGGGAATATGTTTACTTGTGTGTACTTATCTGTGTATCCTGGGGCCCCTTTCAAAGGGAAGGAGCCCCAATGGGGACCCCGCAGAGCCCCCGGGCCGCCTCCCAGTGGGCGCGCAGGGCGGCGCGCCGCCTCGCGCGTCGCGGGCCCCTGGCCGGAGAGCGGCCCCCGCCCCCCCCCCCCCGTGGCGGGCCTCGCGGGGGCGCGGAGCGGACCGCGCCGACCGCGCGCCCCGCGGGGCTCGCGAGGTCGGCGCCACTCCCGGCAGGCTCGCAGCAGGTCGGGCGCGTCCCTCCACAGGAAGAGAATCTTCGAGACCGGGGGCGAGGTTTTGCGTTTGGCTGCTGCCTGGTGGTTTGTCGCTGCTTTTTCTTACAGACTCCGCCCGTAGAGGGACATGCTCGACCTGATACCAATGCTATGCGTGCGTCGCTCCCCAGGTGCGGCGCGCGCACCGAGAAGTCTTTCTAGTCCACGCGTCGTGGCGGGCGCTTTCTGGCCACGCCGCTCGGGAAATTATGCGCTACAAGATGGATGTGCCACATGTTCGGGTCGGACACACGCCTCCGAGGAGGACACCTGGAGCTAGTATGTCCTTGTGCGTCCCATGGTGCGCGAGGCCTGAGGCGGCCCAGGGAACTCCATGGGGTAGGCACGGCATGCCTTCCTCGGAACCTTTGGCGGCCTCTCGGGACCATCTCGACGATCAGCCCCCTCTGGTCGCCGTTTTTGGGTAATTCATTTGTCGCCGATCGGCGCGGGCCCCCTCCCCCTCCCCCCACTTCTCGGAATAGATCTTGGCTGCTTTTGGCGACTGGTCAGGGCCCCTTCCCTCCAGTCTGCTGGCGCGACCGGCAGAAGCAGATCGACCAAGCACGGGCCCAGACCCCCCCCCCCCCCCGCTCGCCCACCCCTCGGCCAAATTTCGAAACCCAGAAAAACAAAAACGCCTACCTGTGGGGCCGCTCCAGGGGGAACCTTCGCGAGCAGGGCTCGACCCAAACTCTGTTTAGGCGATCTCGCGGATCGTTGTCGTCCTCCCTGACTCTGGATCCGCCCTACTTTGGCTTTGTTGTCAAACTTAGAAAATTGTGTCGGATATCCATCTCTAAGAAGCTGAAAAAGTAGGGCGGACATTTCCGCCCCCAAGAAGCAAGGCTGAGATTCGAAACCAGAAAATATGTGAAGATATGGGGAATTTGGTGATTGGGCGTATTTATTCGTGTGTCCCTGGGCCCCTTCATAAGCGCCCCGCGCCCGATGCGCCCCGCCGGTACCGGCCCACGCACCACCTGCGTCTGCCGGCGCTGCCGATAAGAAAACCACGCGCCTCCTCGCAACCCCTGGCAGGCGGGGGGGGGGCGGCGGATTCCCTTGGCCATCACCCTCGGACGAGGACGGCTGCCCGTCCAGCAGCGAGTCGAGCTCCGAGGTCTCGGGGGACCCCACGTGCGGGTGCGACGCGTGGACGTCGCCACCGCCGATGGACGCCGGGACCTACGAGGAGACGCGCTGCTGGAGGGGGTAGGATTGGAGGCGACGATGAGGGCGAATAGCCCAGGGGGAAGCAACACAAGCAATCACGGGGGCGCCGGTGATCTTCGTCTTCGACGAGGCTCCCGGGCTGATGCCCGCCCCTGGACTATTCGCCCTTATCGTGGCCGCCGACAGGAGGGGATGCTACGGTCAGGGATGTTCGGATCGCGTGCCGCTCCGCCGGTGCTGGCCCGTCACGCTTCGGCGCACCTGCCAGTGCCCAGGCTTCCACGTCCCGGGCCTTTCCGGGCCTCCCGCCCCACGAAGCGGAGCGGCACGCTATCTGCACGCAGGGCATGGCGTGTCGCTGGTGCCGCCGCGGCGACACGCTCGGCTGGAGGGGGGCAGGATCCAGGTAGGTTGTGTTAGAAACGCAGGGGGCGCTCTGATCACCGTTTTCAAGATCTGCGTGCTTTCTAGTTGGGTGATCCGTTGCTGTGTTTTCGTTGGGGGATTTTCGTTCGCGCGGTTTTCGGTTCGGTTCCGTTTTGTACAGCAGTTGTTTGTTTGGGCATGCAGGTGCTGTTTCCGTTTTAGTTGGACAAGAACCGAGTAGATGAAAGCGGAACAAAAACATATGTACCCAGCGTAACATCAATTAAGTGGGAAGAGGAGAGGTTCAGCTGTATATTCTTGGGGGCTTGCCAATCCTATGAATGACGTTTTGGCTTGTACCCGACGTGGGTTCCAAAGCGGATTCGACGTGGCTTCAGCGTGGATTCGACGTGGATCGCGCGAGGGACGGCCCTTGCTCAACCGAGCACGCCCGGCATGAGCCTCTCTCTCTCTCTCTCTCTGGCGAGGCTCTCGATCTCCTGCAGCTGAGCTGGGCGCGCCGTTGCCTCCTCGGCAGGCCACCTGTGCCCTGCTCAGCACGGGCCCCTGGGGACTTCCAGCCAAGACGCTGACATGAGGACCACTTCGGGCTCGGGAGGGGCTCTCGTTTTCGGGCCCTTCCTTACATCTGGGTCGAGGGACCTCTTCGCGGCCGAGGCTCGGCGTGGCCAGAAGAGCCCCGTCGCCTCCTATCCAGCACTCCTTCTGGTAGCACGCAGGCTGTACACAAGGCGTATCAAATAAGAAATCAGCCTGCCAGCAGCCGCCCCACCGAAAGTGATATCCCCCGGGTTGGCCCCAGGGGCCTACGGAAGCTTTGCGGCACCTAGGGGCCCTCAAGGATCGACGGATCGCCCCAGTATCTCTTATAGCAAGTTTTCTTATCGTCAGAGTGAGGGGCGAACGGTCATTCATTGTCCCTGGGTGCGTGGTTCAAGTAAGTGGGATCCCGTGGCCTGGATAACCAGTTTGAATTTGCATGGCTAATTGATTATCCCACTGCGACCCTACCTAGGAGTTGGAGCATTTAGGAAAGCAACATCTACATCTACACCGACAGCTACATTTACATCTACACCTGCATCTACATCTACATCAACATCAACAGCGAGACTCACATCTACGTATACACCTACACCTACATCTAAGCTAAGCTAAGCTAAGCTATGCTATGCTATGCTATGCTATGCTGCGCTGTGCTATGCTAAGCTAAGCTATGCTATGCTATGCTATGCTATGCTGCGCTTTGCTTTGTCTTGCTTTGCTGTGCACCCAGCGACAGCAGGCTGTTCAGCACTGCTCGCGGCTCCTGCAAGTGCTGCAGGCTGTTCAGCACTGCTTGCACTAGGTTCAACACTGCTCGCGGCCCCTGCAAGAGCTGCAGCCTGTTCAGCACTGCTCGCGGCTCCTGCAAGAGCTGCAGGCTGTTCAGCACTGCTTGCAAGAGCTGCAGGCTGTTCAGCACTGCTCACGGCTCCTGCAAGAGCTGCAGGCTGTTCAGCACTGCAGGTCCGGCTTTGCGTTGCTTGTGTTTTGCTTTGCCGTTGCTGCTGTTGCTTTGTCTTTGCTTTGCTGTTAGGCTATCTTATGCAATGCTATGCTGCGCTATGCTATGATATGCTATGCTATGCTTTGCTATGCTGCGCTACGCTATGCTATGCTAGAGTACGCTCGACTGCGCTGTGTTATGCTAGGCTATGCTATGCTATGCTATGCTTCGCTATGCGATGCTATGCTATGCTATGCTGCGCTATGCTATGCTGCGCTATGCTATGCAGCGCTATGCTGGGCTATGCTATGATATGCTATGCAGCGCTATGCTATGATATGCTATGCTATGCAGCGCTATGCTATGCTGTGCTGTGCTATGCTATGTTATGCTGCGCTGTGCTATGCTAAGCAATGCTATGCTATGATGTGCTATGACATGCTGCGCTATGCTGTGCTGTGCTGTGCTATGCCATGCTATGCTATGCTATGCTATGATTGGCTATGCTATGTTATGCTGTGCTGTGCTAATGCTGCGCTGCGCTATGCTGCGCTAAGCTAAGCTAAGGTCAGCTAAACTACGCTGAGCTAAGCTAAGCTAGGCTAGGCTAAGCTGAACTAAGCCAAGCTAAGCTAAACTAAGCTAAGCTAAGTTGAGATAAGCTAAGCTAAGCTAGGCTAGGCAAAGCTAAGCTAAGATGAGATAAGCTAAGCTTAGCTTAGCTTAGCTTAGCTAAGCTGGGTGAACCCAGGGGACGTAACCGGGGGAACCGCGGGGCGGATACTGGGGGAACCGCCCGGGGCGCTTTCCACTGCCCGGCCCCTTTAAGCCCAGAGAGTAAGAATCCTGTTAGGCAGAGCCTAGGTAGGGAATAATCACTGTTGACCCCCCCTCTGGTGCACATGTTTTTTTCATTTATCCCAGTGCGACCCTACCTAGGAGTTGGAGCATCTAGGAAAGCAACATCTACATCTACACCGACAGCTACATTAACATCTACACCTGCATCTACATCAGCATCAACAGCGAGACTCACATCTACATCTACACCTACATCTACACCTACCTCTACATCTACATCTACATCCACATCTACACCTACACCTAATCTACATCTACATCTGCACATTCGCATTGGTTTTGCTTTTGCTTTGCATTCCCTTGCCTTTGCTTTTTCTTTTGCTTTTGCTGATGCTATGTTATGCTAGGCTATGCTATGCCATGCTATGCTGCGCTATGCTATGCTATGCTATGATATGCTGCGCGATGCTATGCTATGCGATGCTATGCTGCGCTATGCTATGATATGCTAGGCTATGATATGATGTGTTATGCTGCGCTAGGCTATGATATGCTATGCTATGCTGCGCTATGCTATGCTATGCTATGCTATGGTGCGCTATGATTTGCTATGCTATGAGATGCTGCGCTGTGCTGTTGCTATGCTATGCTATGCTATGCTGCGCTGTGTCATGCTAAGCTATGATATGCTGTGCTATGCTAGGCTGCCCTATGTCATGTTATGCCATGTTATGCTGTGCTGCGCTATGCTATGCTATGCTATGCTATGATGCGCGATGCTTTGCTATGCTATGCTATGCTTCGCTATGCTATGATATGCTAGGCTATGATATGATGTGTTTTGCTGCGCTAGGCTATGCTATGCTATGCTATGCTGCGCTATGCTATGCTATGCTATGCTATGGTGCGCTATGCTTTGCTATGCTATGATATGCTGCGCTGTGATTTTGCTATGCTATGCTATGCTGCGCTGTATTATGCTAAGCTATGCTATGCTATGATATGCTGCGCTATGCTATGTTATGACATGATATGATGTGATGCGCTATGCTGTGCTATGTTATGATATGATATGCTGGGTTATGCTATGCTGTGCTATGCTATGCTAGTGCGGCGCTGAGTTAAGCTAAGCTGAGCTAAGCTAAGCTAGGCACGGCTAAGCTAAGCTAAGCTAGACTAGGCTAAGCTAAGCTAAACTAAGCTAATGTTAGCTAGGCTCAGCTAAGATGAGATAAGCAAAGCTAAGCTAAGGGGACGTAGCTGGGGGAACCGCGGGGCGGATACTGGGGGAACCGCCCGGGGCGCTTTCCACTGCCCGGCCCCTTTAAGCCCAGAGAGTAAGAACCCTTCTAGGCAGAGCCTAGGTAGGGAATTGAAGTGCCCTCCCTGGGGCTGGCACCCTGTTTTTCCCAACCATCCTGTGGTGTTGGGTCCTCGTTTTGAAGAGACGGTGCCCCGCGTTCCCGCCTCCTTCCTCCCTCCCTCCTCCCCCCTCCTCCCCCTCCCACACCCATTCTGGCACACCCCTCACACGTTTCGTGGCCCCATAGGGAGCTCCACCGAAGGCCCCAGTGGCTGCGTCCGCATGCGGTTCCACCCCCCATTTCGGCACACCCCTCACACGTTTCGTGGCCCCATAGGGAGCTCCACCGAAGGCCCCAGTGGCTGCGTCCGCATGCGGTTCCACCCCCCATTCGGCACACCCCTCACACGTTTCGTGGCCCCATAGGGAGCTCCACCGAAGGCCCCAGTGGCTGCGTCCGCATGCGGTTCCACCCCCCATTTCGGCACACCCCTCACACGTTTCGTGGCCCCATAGGGAGCTCCACCGAAGGCCCCAGTGGCTGCGCCCGCATGCGGTTCCACCCCCCATTTCGGCACACCCCTCACACGTTTCGTGGCCCCATAGGGAGCTCCACCGAAGGCCCCAGTGGCTGCGTCGCATGCGGTTCCACCCCCCATTTCCGCACACCCCTCACACGTTTCGTGGCCCCATAGGGAGCTCCACCGAAGGCCCCAGTGGCTGCGTTCGCATGCGGTTCCACCCCCATTTCGGCACACCCCTCACACGTTTCGTGGCCCCATAGGGAGCTCCACCGAAGGCCCCAGTGGCTGCGTTCGCATGCGGTTCCACCCCCCATTTCGGCACACCCCTCACACGTTTCGTGGCCCCAGGGGGAGCTCCACCGAAGGCCCCAGTGGCTGCGTTCGCATGCGGTTCCACCCCCCATTCCGCACACCCCTTCACACGTTTCGTGGCCCAGGGGGAGCTCCACCGAAGGCCCCAGTGGCTGCGTTCGCATGCGGTTCCACCCCCCATTTCGGCACACCCCTCACACGTTTCGTG